ATAAACACATTTCATTACACCAAATACACAAAATAATGTTCTTTTTAGCAACATCATATGACCCCTTTAAGTGAAAAAAGGGACCAGATACAAAAATAGAATTAAATAAAAAGAAATAATAAATAAATAATTAAATAAATAAATAATAAATTACATTAATCACTCAGTAGGCACTAGTTAGTTTGGGGCCAGGTGTTGGATTGTAGTTATATAAAACTCTTATTTATCATAAAATTTATAGCTTGAGTTTGGAGAGAAGAATTTAGGACTTTAAATTTCAACAATGCAACTTTTTATGTATTGGGGGGGAAATCATATGATAACAGGATTGAATGCCAAATGTGGGACTCATTCTGGTAATTGAAATTAGTTAATTACAAATAGTTTTTAAAACAATTAATTGACTATCAATTCAAAAGACTGTCAAAATAACGATACCGTAAGGTAAATCAAGTACTTTTTAATTTTACTTGATTGTAAGCCTAGAAAATAAAGTACAGTGTAATCATGGAATGTATGATACAGTGCACAGTTGCACTGCTGTTTTTTTCTGAACTTCTGTGTTTTTTTTGTATTGAGTTCTTTAGTAAACTATATTGTAGTTATTTAGTAAATGTGTGTTTGTGGTGGGTTTCTCACATCACAGAAGTCGCAGTGTTCAGAGTCGTCTCCTTTTTTGCATGGGCACTTATCACAGCTGTCGCAATGCTGAGGGGAGAGAGAAATGGGAAACTACTGGATCATGGCCAAATTCAAAGCAAGACTGGTTGAAGACTGGCTGAGATTAGACTACAAATAATAGTGCACTTTATTAGACTAATAGAGCTCAGAGGATCCTACCTCACAGTGGGCACACAGTGAACAAATGGATCCTTTATGATAATCATCATCATCGTCATCATCTGAAAAATATATTGTCAGCTGTGTTTTTTTTATTATTATTATTATTGATATGTGTATGTGAAAAGTGTGGTGAGAATTGTGATGAGGAACAGAATTAATTAGTCTTACTCACGTGAACACCACTTTTTTTCTCTTTCTCACTTTCACACACATGCACATACACAGCTCACCACATCACCACATGTTTGTGAGTAACTATTATATCATATATATATATATATATATATATATATATATATATATATGAAATTAACACTTTTAACACATTCATATACACAAACACAAAAAGTGAAAAAAGTACAACTAGGATGTATGACAAAGTATACACTTATTGTATATTTTTCAAAAAATAAAAAATAAATAAAATAAATAAAGGTTTATAAATATGTTATATTAATATCATCACAATATGACAATATTATTTTTAAAATGCATTTAGGTTTCTTTGTTAATACAGTACACTTTTTGGGCTTCAATTCATAAATTCTCTCTATTGATTACATGTACAGTATGCTATCCAGATAAATAGACATTAATTTAAGCTTAAAACATTTTGAGACACACACTGTGTTCATTTAAAGGTAAAATAACAGAGGTAACAGAAATTACACTGTGAAACACAGGATCTTTTGATTTATTCGTTTCAGAGTGGGGTTAAGAGATGTGGTGCTTTGTACAACACACCATTGTGCTACTTAGAATGATGACACAGCAGATATTACACAAAACAGAGAATGAAAAAACAAACACCAGGAAAACTAAAAAAACTAAAAAATAAATAAAAATACAGTTACAACTGAAAAAGGATTCAGTCTAAACAGTTATATTTTGCATCTCCTGATAGTTGCTGTATTGCCTGTTCCCTTCTGATACTTCCTGTATGTATCAACATGAATATGTAAATTATGAATGAACATTCTCTCTCTTTTGCTACCTCTCCGCTGACATCTGTGCTGCTGCATCCCTAGTTTATCCTTTAAACACTTTTTACATATTGTCCCTGACTGCTCACCGTATGTTTCCAGTTGTCTGTTTTACTCATTTATTTTAAATGAAAAAAAAAAACAAAAACTAAAATGTACTGTTCCAGCAATAGTACATGTTTAAGAATCGAAGAATGTACATTGAGAGGGGTGATTTTTTTTTCCTTTTTTTTTTTTGCAACTATTTAGAAAATGAGAATCCTTTTTGGTAAGGATAATGAAATAAATAGATATTAGCATAAATAGAGACAACATATGTAACTTTTATAACCCCATATAGATCATTTAAATATCACACAATGACTTTACAAGTAGACAGATCAGGGTGGTGTACACTTCTGTTATGGAGAATCTCTACAGAGAAAGAATGAGATCGGGGAGATGTAGGGAAAGAGAGAGAATCTGGAACCGATTTGTCCAATCAGTCTGCATTCCTATACTCCCCACAACCATCCAACATCCTCCTGTCTCTCTCTCTCTCTCTTTCTCTATCGGTACCTACTACTCCACAGTGATCTCTCTCCATGGTATATTCCCCACTACATCTCCCTGTCTCTCTTTCTTTCTCTGTAGTTTCACACGGTGACACAAATGCAGAAGATTCCAAATTCAAACAGGACAAATATAGGGATGAAGGAAAGAGTGGAACCCGCTCTTTCAAAACGAGACAAAAATCAAAGAACGATCTGATCTATTGGGCCAGAGTGAGGCCTGGGGCTCAGACTGCAGCGCTGGGTTTGTTTTTTCTCTTTTCTCTCTTAAGTCCTCAGTTCATAAGCACTGTACTGTACTGCACATCAGGACTTGAAGCAGTCCGCCTTCAGAGGGCCCACAGAACTCATAGCTCTATTTAGGCAGGGAAGAGAAGACAGAGAGAGTCAAAGACAGCCAGGGTGATGGACAGCTGGAGAGGGGAGGAGGTGGGGCTTGCGCTAAGCTCTGAGTGATCTGATTGGATAATACAACCGACTGATTGGACCTCAACTATAGCAGGCCAAGAGCAACATTTTGAGGCAGAGCTGAGGTGAAGAAAGTGGGAGTGGCCAAAAGGGCCCCTTGCTCCTCCCCTCTCTTTCCCAATTTGGTGAAAATACTTATGGAGGGCTAAGAGAGGGGGCAGATGATTTGCTAAATTACAGGGGGATTAAACAGCACTTCGAGAGCAACTTTACGTACCTTCATGGTCATCATCATCATCATCATCGTCATCATCGTCATCGTCATCGTCATCATCATCATCATCATCGTCGTCATCGTCATCGTCATCGTCATCATCATCATCATCATCGTCGTCATCATCATCATCGTCGTCATCATCATCATCATCGTCGTCATCGTCATCATCATCATCATCATCATCGTCGTCATCGTCATCATCGTCGTCATCATCATCGTCATCATCATCATCGTCGTCATCATCGTCATCATCATCGTCGTCATCGTCATCGTCATCATCATCATCGTCGTCGTCGTCGTCATCGTCGTCGTCATCATCATCATCATCAGCCATCAGGCCTTCCTCGCGGATGAATGGCAGATCCTGGGCTTTGACAGAGGCTGAGGGCGCCAGCGGTGTCTGGAAGCAGCAAAGCAGGGCCAGCAAGAGCCCCAGCAGCAAGCTTCTCAGAGTAGCCATGTCTGATCAGAGCAGTAAATCCAAACAGAGGAACCACAGTGCAACGCTCCTGCACGTGCACCTGTCAAACCAAAACCCAACGTGGACACCACCTAGATCCTCTTAAACCACACACGCTCACAAACACACTCACATGCGATCACACAGACGCTCCAGGCTATGGCGAGGTAGAACAGGTGACAAGTCAAGAGGTCCAAAGTATTCCAATAGTTTGCGCGCTTGTTCCCAGTGACAGACAAACACAAAGATCCCTTCGCAAGCCAGTGTGTTCTGTAGATTTCTGAAAAATTTACAAAAAATGTTCCCTCTGCGTTGATTTAGCACTTAAGGACTACGAAGAGCCGTGTGGTGGGCAAGGCGGTGTCTGCAGCACGGACCTCACTAATGGTGCAGAGACAGACAGACAGACAAACTCGGGGGTAAAATGAGATGGGGGCGGGGGCCTAGGGCAAATGAGTGACAGGGCCAAGTGCTGGCAGCCATACCACCAAACACCGGCATGCACTTTAGGCTGGAGGTGAGAGAGAGAGAGGTCGGCGGCACACACCATGATAACTTTAGAGATGGCAGCGGGACAGAGGAGGGGTTCCAAGAAGAGGATGACCATATATCGAGAGCAGAGGGTGGAGGAAAGGGGCTGGATGATAAGATCTATATCAAGACGATGAGCAAAGAGAAGGAATTGTTGAATAAAACCAAATGAGATGATGGACTGATTAGCACAAACATCTGCAGAATTATGTCATTCTTCCTCAAACTAAGTGCGTTCATGTAGATGATTGAACGTGCACAATGATTATGATTTTATTGCATACATGCGGCATGAAATAATTTACAGTCATAAATCCAGTTGTCAATGAAAGCATAAAAACAATAAAGTTGATGCATGGAAACACACACACACACACAAACACTGGATGATCAGATCTCCACTTTTATTTTTTGGAACAGCTGTCCGTCAATCTTGGCTGTGGCAGTAACAGTGCCTTCCGAGGGGGGGGGGGGGGTGTTTAGCAAGATGTTAAATTGCAATGTGGTTGAAAGTGGATATGTATGCAGACATGCCTTTGAGATATCAGGTCCCTGATCATCTTCACTCCCTCTCTTTTTCTTTATCCTGCTCTTTCTACTCTAAGGAGAACAGCTGAATGTGTATGGCCTGGTATCTTGATCTGACCCACTTTTTTCATGATAGCACTCAGACCAGAAGTTGTTAAAATCACGTCCTCCTCACTCATAAACCAAAACTCTCAGCCTGTGCGCCACCTGGTCACTTCTCTGTTCAGTCTGCATATTTCAATATGCATCTTCGGTTTTAGATTTGCAATTGCTTGGGGCAATTTTATTTTGTGGATATGATAATTCTTTGTTAATATATCACTTCTTTATGAGTACATTTAAAAATATTATGAGATTTTATGCCCCATGATTGATGTCTATGTCTAAGCACATGATGATGACACATAACCTTTTCAAGCTTTAAAGGTCAAATCTGCTAAATGTGATACACAACACTGTTAAAAATAAAGGTTCCAATGTTTTTTGTTTTTTGGCAACCATAGATGCCAATAAAGAACCTTCATTTGTAAGAGTGTAGTAATGGGCAACATAGCAAATTCAATTAGTTGATATGTTAAATGTTAAAATTCCACATGCATGTTCATGCAAGTAAAGCTGCTTGCACACAGATTCTGTTCTGAAAACAGCAGCGCTTCCATGTTCACACCGAGCGGGTGGCTAAACTAAGATGATTTGCTGATTTAGCTCCAGTTAGATTTAAGCAAAGATCCTTAGAAGAGTCAAGTCCCCCCCTACTCTCACTCCACAGTTACTGAAGATGACAACCTGATCCTCATCGACCGCAGCTCTTGCCATGTAAGGCTTGTAGGAGACTAAGACCATGCCAACCTAGGAATCAAATGCTACTCAAAAGGGGACAGGGTCATTACAGATGGCCACTGGTGAAGACTGAGAATAGAAAGCAAAGAAGAGAATGTAAAAGCAAATTTAAGTTTAATTGGTGCACTAAAGCCATTTTAAAACAGTTTGTAAAAAAAACATAAAAATACAGGTTTGTAATAAATGTGATAAATTATACTGATTTCCAATAGTCAGTGACAGACACAATAAGAAAGTTATCACAGTGTAATTGTGGATGATTGCATTGATCTGCACTGAAATTCACTTATAAATTCTTTTGTATTACAAGACAAAGCATAAATATCAGTAGGAAACATATGACCAATGATTAAGAGATTTTGTCTAATTAGAAAAACCAAATAAAACAAGAAAAAAAAAAACTTAAAATGCAATTACAGATTTACTAGCTCTATAGCTCTATTTGAAACTTACTATACTTATTCCCAAAAGCATTATGCTCAAAGTTTAAGTCTAAGACTTCAGATGCAAAGACCACTAAGTCCGTCTGAGATTTTTCTTTCAAATTAGTTTTTTTTTATCAGGCTCCTATGAAAATATCATTAAACATTTTTTTTAAATAATGCATTCAATAACTGACTAATAACCTTTTATTTGCCATTAAAGTGAAATTACTAAACCAAGTTTTCACAAAAACAAAAAGTTTTATAAAATTATACACTTCACATTTCAGTCTTTAAACCATTTTTAATAAAATGGATGAGTCAAAAGTATTAATCATTATATTAATTTAAACAATGATTATCAATAAATTATTATATTAATTCAATAACATATAAATACATTTGACCGTTTAGATTTTTATAATGCATTATCTTCTTATCGATCCACCAGTTCACATTTACAGCTCTGTGTGTTTGCAGGGTAAAAACATGGGTCGATTTTCACATTGGTCTGAACAAAAACAACCCCAATACTGTGTTCCTGCAATACTGGAGGCTGCAGGTTCAGGACCGCAGTTCTACTAGGACCATTTTTTTGTGGCAACAGAGGAGACCTGATACAAACATCAAACAAACAGATGCAAAGACTAGATCCATGGAAACTATACATTTTTTATATTTCCATCTTATTTTTAATGTAAGAGCTGGCGTGAACTTGAGTGTGTGAAGCGATGTCAGCAACCTCCATTTAGCCTATTTAGCTGTGCAAAACAGTTCATTATGCTGCTGGATGTTGTAAATGCACATTCATTCTCTGCCAGCAGGAGGCGCTTTCGGAACGGCAGAAATATAGCAGTTTCCCCGGTAATGGCAGTACACAAATCAGCACAGCACCAGACTTTGAAACGTGCAGCGCTCATGTTTATTTAATGAAATAATAGCCATTTGAAGTTTAATCGTCACATTAAGCCACATCGCAATTCTGGTCTTTCCGTCCCCAAATTTAAGACCTCCTGAAATCATAATTACTCTCTTGTACAGTTTAAGACTTTTTATTACCTTAAATTTGATACAACTAAATGTAAGACTTTTTAAGGGCCCGCGGAAACCCTGTAAACGTAAACATATGGAGCCTGATAAAAATGCTCATTTAAAAGAAATCTGAAGTCTTCATGTATATTTATACAAAATAATACAATTTTCTGATCATAAATACATTATTTTTATTGTTTTCTTTTTCTTTTCTATCAAAGGAGAGTTTTCTCCATGCCCCTAGGTGTGGTTTGTCAACTCAAATAATTAAATCAAAATATGATATTTCAAAACTTTAGAACAAATCATATCATTCTTTCTGATACAATGTAAGAAATCTGATAAAAACAATGTCTTCTTGACATTTAACATGTCAAGCTGAAATGGCACAAAGAATCATACAAAAAATAAGTTCATAAAATATGCACACGATTACGTATCTGCATTATCAGCATAATTTTGATCTGGAAAAAGTGGGCCGTTTAGAAGCAATACCTGAAACAAAGCCAGAAGAGACATGATAGTTAACATAATATTGATAGTGTTTAAAAGTAATTAAAAATGTGAAAACACTAAGATTTATACATATATTTTCTATCTATCTATCTATCTATCTTGTGGCCCTCCAGGAGTGCCACAAGGGTGCCCTCCAGTTTTGTATATATATATATATATATATATAGAGAGAGAGAGAGAGAGAGAGAGAGAGAGAGATTCTGTGATGATGTTATGTCTCCATCAGTAAGAAAGTACTGTAACTGTATATTTATATGTAAATAAGTATCATTAAAATGTTACAGCCAAACCAACACTGTAAACACTGTTACTAAGAGGGAACCTGAGAAACATAAGCTACACTTTGACGCTGCAAAGAGGGGGAAAGGCAAAGGAGAGTGAGCACCACACCTTTGGAAGGAAGAGGAGGTGGACGTGTCTGCTTTACAAGATCGCTCTGAGACAGCGCCTCCACTATCCAGGAGAGGGCAGTAGAGCAGTACTCCACCTGCGTAACAAGCAAACAGAAAAAGACAAGTATTGGTCAAAAAACTGAGGTTCCCTTTAAAGCACAGGTTCATTAATTACATCGATCGGCTGACAGCTTGGCACATTCTCAAAGTGGATCTACATTCTAAAGGCTCGTACAGTGATGGGGAGAATGATGGATGGGCCTTGGTCTGCGCTGAGCAAGCAAACACAACAGCTGCAGCTAAAATAAGGCGAGGCCCATAGTCTTGCACCCACAGACGCATGCGTGCACTCTATGGGGCGCTGCTGGGATTTAAAAACAGGTGTCAATGTGTTTGATAGCCACAGGTAGACAGGTGTGCATAGTCGTCACTAACCTCCGACTCCAGTTTTCTCAACCTGCGATCGTGATCGTGTCAGCAGGAGTTGACAGTCTATCCCCCACTTCACACGCACATAAATGCGAAACGAGAGCCGCCACTGCGAGGTTACTAAATGCCCCCGGGTGTGTATTACATACAGATCTACTTGTCAGTGATGGATATGTTCTCCACTCACTCATCTTTTTTAGAACTCATATGTGAAGTATGTGAAATAAGTTGTTAATTGTTGATCTGAGAGTATGAAAGAACAGTAACAGGGTTGACTGACTTTGTGGAGGTGCGTTTGAGCCGCTCCGTGTCGCTCTCTCGTTGTTTCTTTCCTTGTGTGGAAAGCAGGTTCTCCTTCAGCGTCGACTCCCATGTGTTTAGCAAACTGGCCTCTTTGCTTTTCAGGTCCAACACTATGGAAAAAGACACACCTCATGTTTAAAGGGATAGTTCCTCCAAAAAATGAAATCCTTGTCATTATTTACTCACCTTAATGTCTGACCAGACCTGTATGACTTTCTTTCTTTTCTGAAGGTAGATGGTAACCAAACAGTCATTGACTTCCATTTTTGTGGACAAAAAACAGTGATGCATTTCTTAGAATATCTTCTTTAAAGTTCCACAGAAGAAAGACAGTCATACAGGTTTGGAACGACATGAGGGAGAGGATTTTCATGGATGAACTATCCCTTATTATCAAATGAGACTGTATATAATGTAGCATCATATATCAGAACGTACTAAAGTGTTGGCTCTTATTGGAGGGCAATCTCTGAATGACTCTTTTGAAGAAGATATGGAGGTGGGAGATGATGATGAAGGGCGGGGAGAGGCAGGGGCGCGAGTGGTACTCCACGATCAGGTTGTAGCGCTGGAACTTCCAGTGTACATCACTGTGCTCCTGGACTTTATTGAATGTGTAACTGTAGACAAATAGCATGAACACACAATCATACTAAGCAATACAGCTAGAGAGGCCGTGCTGTATTGTTAATAGAGTATTGAAGCCGCAAAAGAACCCTTTCTGCCACTAGTGTTTCATTGCTAGGCATACACCAATAATACAATTCTGTCTGATACCAACGCTGATTATTATTTTCATAAAACTATTTTGCTATTATACTAAAAGCTATTATACTATTTTGTCTAAAAATTAAAAAAAAAGACACTATAAATAAAATGAACCGTATTACATGCTACACTATGAATAATAATGTACAATATGAATCATGGATACACATTTTAAAATTGGCTAAAGATTTCATTTAACTGTTTAGTTCCATTATTTATGTCTTTAAAGATTAACTTTATGTGAGAATAAGATGATGGCAAAAGTTATTCAAATGTAAAAGTAGGGGAAATGAGCATGAATAATTGAAAATCCGATATCAGCTGACATATATCCAATCAACATACAGTACTGTTAAAAATTTGGGGGTTGGTACAATTTTTTATTGTTTTTGAAATGAGTGTCTTATGTGTCTTAAAAATTTAATTGATCAAAAATACAGTTAAAACAGTAATACTGGGTAAAAACAGTAATACATTTAAAATAATGGTTTTCTATATAAATTTGAAAATGTAATTTATTCTTGTGATGGCAAAGCTGAATTTTCAGCATCATTACTCCAGTCTTCAGGGTCACATGATCCTTCAGAAACCATTCTGATATGCTGATTTAGTGCTTAAGAAACATTTCTTATTTTCAATGCTGAAAACTGCTGTTGTGATGCTGAATAATTTTGTGGAAACTATGATACATTTGTTTCAGGATTCTTTAATGAATAGAAAGTTCACAAGAACAGCATCTATATTAAATATTTTATTTGAATTTCTTTGCAATATTATAAGTGTCTTTAATGTCACTTTTGATCCGTTTAATAAATCCTTGCTGAATATAAGTACTCATTTCTTTTAATCTTACTGACCTGAAACTTTTCAACTCTTGTATATATTAACTAAACATTTGTAATATCAGCTAATAACAAATAATTATTGCTTTCATAAACTGGTTACTACACAGATGCAATTTTTAACTTAAATGTTATTTAACTAAGCCATTTCAAAATATTTATAAATTAATAAGCACTCAACCTGCTTGTGCTCAAGTGCCCATGGAGCTAACTTTTGGAGAAATCTAGCAATCTAACATCTTGCATATACAGACATGTAACATTTGTAACATCAGTTCATAGTAGCAGCTACTGTAATTCATTTTAAAGTCCATATAAAATCATTGGTTTAAATACAAACAGGAAGGCATGTGATGTTATATCAGTGTTGATGGTGTAGTTTTTTACCTGAACATTGCAATGAGCAAGTTCACCAACAGAATATTGGTGACCAACAAGTAGACTGACAGCAGAATAAGAACCAGCCAGTTAGCATCAGACTGTGGGCATGGCTCCGCCCCCTGATGGATGAGCGTGACATTATCTGTACACTCTCTCTCCTGTCGCTTGTCAGCTAGAGTCAAAGAACAAAACTTATTACAACACAATCAATAAAATCAGCTGAAAGTACAAAAGTTTGGGGTCAGTAAGTACTACTCTTATTCAGCAAGAATGCATTAAATTAATCAAAAGTAAAAGTAAAGACTTTTTACATTGTTACAAAAAATAGACTTTCGATAGAAAACAGAATTTTAAATAGACAGACCCCAAAGTTTTGAAAGGTATACTGTGATGGAACTGTATAGCAAAAATAACACACAACAGAGACACAAAGACACACACACCATCAATTTCATCCAGTGGTATCTGCCCATATATGTGCATGTATGGCCTGTAGAACACGCGCCGAATTATCCAACCAGGACGAGAGTCATAGGAGTACAGCAGCGCCTGATTGGCTACTCCATATGCCATTAGCCACACCCCCAGGAAGAACAGGAAGAAAAACACATCTTTCACCTGTGGAGTATATGATCATTCTTTAGCAGGATTATATGCACTTTTTAGGGCACGTTGAAAATGATAGACTCCTTCTCACCATTTTCCCAACTATTATTATTTTGGGACCAAGTTGTTTGTGAACTGCAAATATATGAATGAGTCTGAGCGTGAAGACCACATAGTCGACACACAGTACCGCACGACCGAAATGATACGTCCGTGGAAACATCCTGTAACAAAAACGCACATGCACTAACCAATACCATCACATGCACAAACATACACAGGACAGATTTCACTGAATTCACCTGCAGAGAAGCCCAAGAATGAAGAGCGCGAGGGCCGTGATGTCACACTTGTTCCAGATGTCTTGGATGTACAACTTCATCCTTTGAAGTACAGTGGTAGATCCTACAAAAAACGTCTGAGAGGGAGATCACGATTCAGGAGACTGAACAAGTGCATTGAAATGTGTGTAAACGCAATGAAGATTGTTCGTACCTGTCGAATCTCCTCACAGACCAGAGTAAAAACCCAGAAATACAACACAAGCTCTGAGGGGGCGGGTCCGTCGGGAGGCGGGGGCTTGAAGTCAACCAATAGGATGTAAGCAAACAGGAAAAGGAAGAGGAAGTACATCAACACGTTGCCTAGAAACGAAGTGACCGGTGCAAACCAGAACTGCCGCCATCGGTGCAATAAAAAAGGCCGTTTTAGAGTGATCGCCTTTGATGCTGTAATATAAAAAATAAAGATGTAAGCTCCTTACAGCAAGTCAAAGTTTAACAGGATTTGTGATCATGCCATTTAGACGCACCTTTCGGTTTTCCTCTTAAAGCTTTACATTCCTCCACGTCGTCCTCCCTGTGAAGCACATGTATGACTCTCTTTATTTTATCTGTGTTTGATCTTTAACTTTGTAAAATTATTTAAGGTGCTGAGAAACCATGAATTACGTGTTTATAACATCAGCCAATGACTCGGCTCCATCGACGCTGTCTAATTCTTTACCCTGATGAAATTCCTCTGGCTTTTCGTCCTTCTCCTGCTCCCTAAGAGATCGAAGGGCATTAAAACTTTGACGACTGTACCAGAAAGAAAACTAATCTTGGCCGAAAATATTGGGTACTGACTTGAAACTGATGAGGTTGGTGTAGATCAAGGGAGACAGGAAAAACGAAAGGACTAGTTTCCACACTTCTGTATTGCTGTCCATGTCCCCCCACCAAATCTCTGACAGTAAAGTCTAGCCATGGATGGGATGAAGAACCATGACACCAATGTAACTAAGAAATATCGACACTCCAACAGGTAAACATGAGCACTGCTTACCTGCACTCCATCATGGCTGAAGAAGAGGCGGGCGTCAGCCGCGGTGGCCATCTGCAGACAGGTGGCGCTACCCCATACAGGTGACTGTCTGATGAGAAGCTTGAAAGAGCGGCTCTCATTGCTCTGGTAACACTCACTGAACACATCTATGAACAAAGTCATGAGAAAACACATAATGCATGTAATGTAAGATTTCTTAATGCTAAAGACTTAAAGCTGCATTTATTTAATTCATCCTTGATGAATAAAAGTATTAATTTCTTGGAAAATAACAACAAGATCTTACTGACCTTAAACTTTATAACTAAACAGTCATCTGAGATCACATTTAAAATCTGAGATCTGAGAACCTTAAAATAAACTAAATATTGATATATTATAAATCCTGCAATATTAGGGACCATTAAAATTGGAAGATGCGGAACATGAAAAAAAAAATGTTTTTAAAGGGTTTTAGAATGGTGTGTCATGTGAAAAATGCAAGCGTAACAGTCAAACACGTCTGTCTAGTGCAGATTTGCATAGAAAAATTATGGAAACAGCACCGTGGAATGCAAAACTGCATTCTGTTTAAATATTATAATATATATACATATATATATATATATATATGTACACACACACACATAATATACGAAATAAATATAAAATACAAGCATTTTCACTAGCTGTTTCATACATTTGGGCCCCACTGGAACACTGAAAATCATTCGCATCTGCCATCTCTTTAACTTGATTCACACCCACCATGTGCCAGATTCTCGAAGGTTTGAGCAAGTTCTTTCATGGAAAGCTTGGTCTCAGTCTCTGTCTCCAACTTGGCGAGCTCTCTTAATATCTTACACCCAGCAAGAGCACTTAGCACCGACTCCCCCGCCTAGCATTGAAAGAGAGAGGGGAAAGGAGCAAAACAAAGCAAAATTAATAATAATAATAATACTCTGACCATGAGAATTATAGTAATCATAATAGTCATAATAAATAATGCATACTGTGGTATTCTGCATGCAACCCTCCTGCTATTGGACACTTTTACTTGCTGAATAAATTAATATGACATTTCTATAGTTGCATCAACAGCTGAATACTTTAGTGTGATACTGAATTCACGCCACTAGGTGTCATTATAGAGTCCAGGATCACTGTCATATGCAACTTTAACCTACTCATTTGCAAATGTAGGCTATATATCTGACCAAATATCATACGAGATTAGAAAGAATTAGCAGAGAACATGATATGGGTTTCAACTATGACTCAATACCAACAATACCATTTCCCAGAAGTAGATAGACATTTCTCTGCGATTCTGAAGAACAGCCCAAATGAACAGAGCTATCCAGGGAGACATACAGCGCTGTTTCCGGTACACACTCTCAGTTCGCAGCAACTTATTCACATGCTGAAAGGACGAGACAGAAACTATGATCACAACATTGTTATCTACAGTGCACAGCATAAATGAGTACACCCCCTCTGAATAAATATAAAAGATGTATTTTCTTAACGATCACTAATATAATTAATGGAAAGATGGCAAAATTTAAACATATTAAACATATACTTAATAAAAACAACAAAATATATGCCAATATTTTCTGTAAGATAAGTAAATTAGCCAATTTTGTTTAAATGAAGGATTGCAGAAATGAGTACACCCTAGAATTAATTCAGAAAATGTATAATATTCTAGTACTTAGTACGTCCTCCAGAACTTAAAAGTATAATGCTCTGACCCTTCTTGGCACTGAGTGTACAAGTTCATGACAAATTTTCACATCTGTGCTGTTTAACTCCTGGAGGACGACCTCCTTGAATGCTCTGGTCTTTAATGGGGAGTGTTGCTCAGCTCGTCTCTACAGAATCCCCCACAGCAGCTCAAGAGTGTTAAGATTGAGTGAAATACATGTACTTAAAACAATAATTTGGTATTCCTCTTGTACCATTGTCCTCTTTTATGCTAATAAATAAGTCACCTGGCAGTTCTCTCCCAAGCGGTTCCACTGCTGCCAGCATTAAGTCGGAGTATGATTCAGTGGGCTATATAACACTTTTAATTGTCAGGAAATAACTTGTCTTTAAAAGTTTTGGTTCAATATACTTACCTGTTGGTCAAAAATAGCCTTAAACCTTAAAACCTTTTTTTTTTTTTAGTAACTTTCAGGAGGGGGTACTCATTTTTGCAACACACAATTTTATCACTTTGATAAGAAAATCTTATTTTGCTGAATAATTTTGGCATTCTTCTTTGGTAATTGATCAAGCAGGCTTGTTGGAACATTACATCTCCAAAGAACTCTAACATGTCTTCTAAGTAAAGAGTAATTGCTGAATTTGTTAAGTTTTAGAGGGGGTGTACTTATTTATGCTGTGCACTGTATAATGTATTAACATAAGTGCCGCAAGTCAAATAATTTCACCAATCCCAAAACCTCTGAAAAAACCTGGCTGGTACCGTCATTGCTTTCCTTGAGGCCCATCCCTGTTCTACTCCAAGAGGAGCGTAGTAAAATGGCTGGCAGACATCTTCCATGATTTCTGATAACACCCGTGAAACCTGAGAGATGAAGAAAAAATCATAATGAAGATGTTATCTTAGTGAAGACATAATTATTATTCCTTGTTCTATTTTTTTTTTTAGATGGAGTGCATGGTTCTTGATTTCATGTGTAAGAAATGCTGTGGAAAGTGGGAAACTACACAATAATAACTAACTCATAAGCATATTTGACACACATCTTACTCGACTAATTCAAATGAAATTGAATTGCAATTGTATAATTTCTTGATTTCTCAAGCAAAGGAAATTGTGAAAGCCCACTAAAAATGTATCTTCATACATTTTTGGTATAGACAAAGTATGGTGAAGGTACAAGTTATTTGGCAACATGCTTGAACAATCTAATAAAATTGAAAATCAAACTGAAAATTTCAGAGGGTTTTTATTGTTCCATTTGCTTACCCATGCTTGACAAATCTTTGTGTGTGACGTTTATATATTGTTACTTTTGAAAAGAAACAAAGTCTCATCTTTCAAATTATGCCCATTTTTTTTCAGGAAATTCAAACAATAAATGTTGATTTGATGCTCTTTAATGTGGCGTGACACAAATAAATCTGTTATGAAACAAGGTATAGAAGTTAATTTAAAAACTGCATTATGTGCAATTTACATGTTTGCATACAATTTTTTTTAAGTTGAGTGTTGACTGTTATATTTAAAAATAAATAATAATTAAATTCAAGTTTGGGCTCTGTTGTTAATCTTATAGTAATGTAAAAGGGCTCACTATAGTTTAGAGCAGAAGCTGGGGTACATTTTATCCCTAAAAAAACATTTAATTATAATTGAATTTATTTAAAGAAAGAGCAATTTGTTCAGTAAACAACTGTTTAATAAAAAAAAAAGCACATTTATGTTTTCCCCCCTGCTGTACTAAAACCTAGGTATGTACTCAACCGTCATGTTTACATATATATATATATATATATATAAATATATATATAGTCTCATAATTTCTCTGTTATGTTCTTTTTTTAAATCCTTAAATCCTTTTACCTCATACAGGGTGAGGTCTCGAGCAGCAGACGGGGTGGTGAGGGTGGTGGCGTGGCTCTTGAAAGAGTAATTCTCATCAGGTAAAGCTAAGCGGGTCTGAGAGCCAACTAAGCCCACTCGCGTGATTGTGGATTAAATTTGATGTAATGCTGCAAAAAACAACTTTCCTGTCTTTCCTGTGTAGGGACAATAAACATTATTACTACTACTAAATGAAATAATTCTGAGGCCATTTACTTTACTAAATGCCAAAACACTACTGTTTTTCATATAGCAGCACACCAGTGTTTAACTTCCCTCTTCCTTCCTCTCATTTTGTGTTTACTTCTCTGATATTTATTTTATTGAATAAAAGGAAGTGCATGGTTCCTCAGGGATGTGCTTGTGCTTCTCGTCGCAGTCCCTGATGAAGGTGCTAGATAAAGGATTTGGGAATTTGCTGTTGTGCTTTGTGCTCAAGAAGACTTTAAAGATGTTTTATTTTTCAGTTGAACTGTCTTCTTTCTCTCACCCCAGATGCCAGTGCGCTGATGGGAGATGAAGTCCTCCAGGTTGGCTCTGAACATTGTTTCACTACCTCTGTGTCCTACACTCCCATCATCCACCAAGAGGAAGGCCTGGTGGTTGTTGTCCAGGCAGCTGCATTCATGGGGCATGTTGTGCACATAGTACCGCGCTGGGAAACTACCCTTGTAAAGAGTAACCAACCATAAGTTTTTACAGAACAGCCTAGCCAAAGTCCTACAGCAGTTCAAAACACTATTCAGGTCTATATGACATTAGTGAAATGCTACTGTACACGCTGTAAAACATATCTGGATATTGAACTACACTTAAAATTAGGGCTGTGCAAAAAATCAAATGTGATTTTCATGCACATCTCGTCAGTAAAGACGCTCCTGTGATTAGTAGTAAATCTCCAGCACGTGCTTTCAGATGGAGCGGCATTTACTACACAGAGCCGTAGTTCACTGACAAGCTACGCAAAATCGCGTTCAAAATCGCAGGCGATTCATTGCGATCCATCTGAAAGCACGTGCTGGAGATTTACTACTAATCACAGGAGCGCCTTTACTGACGAGATGCGTATTATAGTATTGACATTCATACATTTTAAGTGTGGCTTTCGTGTGAACTGTTGATACTGAAGCAGAATGTACTCATACGGTAATACCTGTGGGTTTACGAGTTGCTGACGTTGGTAAATCAATCCCCAGGGCGCAACACCAACAGCTATAACTTTGGCCTGGGAAAGAGATGAAGCTGTTGCACAATGATCCCTTACTGCCTCACCTACACAACGGCCAACACCCTCCCTCAGACCTGACGTTATGATCCAAGCCCCTGGAAAAAGAAAATGAAAAGTACTATTACCTAAATTACTCAGCACAGTAGCTTAATTAAATTGTATGGAAATACATAAAAGTCACAAACAACATCACTGATAAAGGTTTTTACCATAATGCAACACTTCTAGATTAAAGCCATTTGCATTCTAACCATATACATAATAAACCTTATCAACACACTAGAAACACACACACAGGAGGAATGCCACTGTTGAGTAATACTAGTTTGGCCTGTCAATCACTGACCTTAAGACTAGTCACTAATTACTGGGTACATGAAAACAGTTATTAACACTTATTTTACAGAGCATTTCAGTAAAGCTACCTGTCCTACCTGATCTACTCTGTGAGCCAGAGGTGGCCCGAAACATGAACTCAGAACCATATCCAAATCAGAGTTAAATATTCATAAAACATACTTGGTCTCTAGATGTCTATATGCAGTGATATATGATAAAATTATAAGGCCACAGTAGTGTCATTAGCGTTTCATTTTTGTTATCAGCTTCGTAATTTTAAGGACATCTCATGACTTGTCATCTGTGGATGTTTTCACACACACACACACACACAGACACACAGACAGTTCAGTCAAGCTTATGGAAGACCTCAGTGAACAAATCTGCCACTTCATTCCCTGCTTTAAGTCTTCACTGTAAAAAAAAAGTGGTCTCCAGTTTCACAATCTGATATGACCTGGAAGTTTGTTGTGTGTTGTATGTAAAGGCATGCATGGACATGCTGAGGGATGTCAGAAAAACTAAGTAAAACGTTCATCACACATTTATTCTGGCATGCAATAATTGCTTTTTTATTTTTGATTCATTCTTTTATTTTGGTTATTACTTCAACCATTTCAATGTTGCTTCCTTATATATATATATATATATATATATATATACACATTTTTTTTGTTGAAGATCATGTAAAATGAGTAAAAATATTGCACAATATTAACCCAGATGGAATGGTGGAGGGTGAAGGAAGGGTTAACAGTCCACATGTGATTGGTTAGATAAGTGAGTATAAAGGTTTAAGCACTCATAACTGAGCTAAAGATAGAGGAGCAGGAGAGGTTACCTGTGCTCTGTGCGGCCCGGACTAGACCCTGTCTGATCACTTCTCGCACCCAGGGTTTCACCTTCTCTTTCCCCTCTCCCCCCACCACAGACACCACCAGATTGGGTATCGGCAGGCCCCACTGTGACATCATCAGCGAGTACACATTGTCCGGAGGTGTATCATGTGCCAGGCGCAGAAACTTGGGGACACAAGATGAATGACATATGAATGCACAGCAGAACAAAGGTCCTGAATGTTTGTATGTGTGATATTATTCATCCTAAACTAAGATACACAGGCATTCAGATATGTTCCTCACATGCACAAACATGCAGGATATTTATGCTGTCACTCACAAACTGCTGAACGTAGGAAGGGATTTGTGTGAGAAGAGAAAGACTGAACAATGGATCTGCCTGAGGCAACATACGGTCTCCAAAATAAAATGTTGTTTTGTTACTGTCTAAATTTAATTGGCTTTAATGTGGTTGTGAGAAGTGTATGACTTCAGGCTCTGTGGGGTTGGTTAAAGGGAATTTATAATTGCTGTGGATTACATGTTTTTTTATAGTAGTTCTGTAATTGCCCAGCAGCCTGGCATACTTTTAAAGGGATTGACAATAGACCTTAGTTAGGGTAGTGCCATATTTAATTTTTGACAGGAGTAAAAAAACGAAGCTGTGAGGAACAGGGACACAGTGAGTTCAAGGGATTGTAATGCTGTTTAACAACATGCAAATTGTTCAGTTGATGAAACAGCTTTCCAAAAATAAACTTTCAATAGGCTTTTTGTCATTTCATTTGATATTTTTCCAAAAAACGTTGGTTAACTTTGGCGCATTTACATAACGTTTATTGATGTTTCACCCTTCCTGTTAAATACACAAATAAATATCTGTGCGTCTGTCCCTCAAAGTCTCATTTTCATACAGGTAGAATTCAATATGGTCCACCCTTACTAAGGTCTATATCTTAATGCTTTAGACACCACAAAATAAAAATGAAAAACATTATGATTTAAGTTATTGTTTATTTATTAACAGACTTCTTGTTAATTTGTGTAGAAAGTAACGTAAATCATAAACACTGTAAAACTGTAAAGATCTCATTTACCGCTGTTAAGCAAATTTTCACAAGAAAAATCCAGTAATTTCAAATGGAATCTGGGTGATCGTGTATTTCTAGAGAGGACAACATATTTCCACACACAGATTTGGCAATGGATTCGGTTGGTCATGCGAATTCACCGTGTTAACAACAGAGAACTTGTGAGATCTGCTTCATACATGGCTATAGACAATGTTTCTTTTTTGTTTATGGAATTTTGCTTACTATTTGCTAATGTGACAGCATCTTTAGTCACTGACATCTTCTGCATTTAATGTTAATGGCTAGAACCTGAACAGGCGAAAAGTTGCATAAAGACCTGCACACTATGAGAATTGAAAAAAGATCAACTACACATATTTTCCTCCACTATATATCATTTTGTAATATACATGCATAGTAATTATGTAATTAGGCTCTAAAGAAGGTTATGGTGTGACCAAAATGTTCCTCAGTAAAGATGTGGTTTTTATCATCGCATTTGTGAGTTTTTAGTCATTTCTTTAAAGAATAGATCCTCACTGTAAAGTATTACCAATTTATCATAGTTGTATTGGCAGATGGAGTTCGTATTTCAAATGACAGTAACTGTGATTGAGCATGCTTGAGGATGTGTAGAAGAAAGTGAGACACCCACTGGACTGTTTCTGCGTCCGGCTCCAGCAAACTCCAGCTGTCCAAAGGCATCGGTGGGGTATTCAGAGGTGTGTTCTTCACTGTCCCACTGGCTGATCACATGATCACCTGTCGTTATGGATGCATGAATGTCCTGTGGTCCACCACACTGGCACAAAGCCCCACTACTGCCACAGAGAGAGAGAGAGAGAGAGAGAGAGAGAGAACTGTTAAAACAGGTTTCAGTGGGTTCAGAATTCTGATATAATTACTATTCAAGCCATCATTTCAGAGGAAGAAACTCCTTTGTGTGTGTGCATGTCATTCATGTTACAATTAATTCATCAAATGAAGACATTAATAGCTGAAATCAAACAGTATGTCACATAATGTACACATCATCACTAAAATTAATAAATGAAATGAAAACAGTACCTGCCCAAACCCTATTGTGAATCATTCCATAACAATAGCTTGCAAATGGGAAAATGACAGGGAAAATGTACTGTTGACAAATGGCTAGGAGTTCACCTTCATTCAAGAAAAAACGGCATGTTTGTTGACCCACCCTACATTACCAAATCAGCTACTTAACTGCTCAGATCATATTACCAGAAGATCAATGTCTGTTTTAAATAAGAGAGTATGAAAGGACTGAATGGATTTTCTGCATATGCTAGTAAATCTGAATGCGAGAGAAAATGGAAAATGGCTGTTGTACCTGGATGAGTCCTCCACAAAGGTGGTGCACACTCTCTTTTTAATCATCTTTGGGATCCAGCTCTACAACACAGACATTACACAGTAAAGCATGAGTCAGAGACATTTTCACATGCAGGTCCGGTTTCTTTTCTTTCACAGTTAGTGACTGAGGAGAACAAACTATGAGATTACGCTTGAATGGCAAAAGAATTTCCAAGGAAATGTTTTAATGTGTGAAATGCGATTCTAAATCACAGAAACTAACAGCTTATTTGTGACTTCTGCCTACTTACTGCCAAACTATTTCAAAACCAATGATTGCCTCACACATCGAACAAAAAAACATGATAATTATAGCAATCAAAATAATTGTACTTAGCCAATAACTGTTTTAACTATAATTTTATAATAAATAAAAAACTTTATTCTGGGCGAAGACGGCTGCATATTAGATAACTGTATTTGGAAACTACATAATCAATGGAAAAAAAAGTCTCAAAACGTTTTGATTATTAAAACAGATGCTAAGCTGAGATAATAATCAAAGCAGGAGCATTTAAAACAAAATAAAAAGAGAAAGACTTCTTAGGTTCCTAAAATTAAATTAACACGGTCAACTTGTTTTCAACTACAAACAGCATGTTTGTTTATCCAACATAAGAGCTGTAATATACTTTTTAATGGATGACAATTCTGCATAACACAAAATATACTAGCTCTGTAATTTGACAATGTTTTCCCTTTTAACATGCTATCATCCATCCTCATCTTGATTTGTTGTATTTTTCCATTTCATTCTCCTATAACAATGTGTATATTTTTATTTAATATATTTTATAAATGTATGACATTTCATTTTCTATTTCATGCACGTAGTGACTTTTTAATTGCTTTATTAATTTTGCATTTTGAGAATAATAAAATAGCAATATAGTGAAATGAATAATACATAGAACACAAAAAGCTCTGGAATATCTTAAATGTAAACATCTTATAGGACAGACAAATGTGTGTGTGTGTATACGTATGTACGTGTATGTATAAATAGGTCTCCCATCTTCATCCTGTACATTGAGCAAGTGCAAAAACCTGTTAAACAAGCTTATAATTTTAATATGGTGCTTTAAAGTTTGGTTAATCATTGCATATGACTTTCCTCAGTAACATCAGAGACAATCCAATCCAAACCTGATTGGAAAGGCCATTAAAACAGTCATTACATTTGCATGTAGCTTACAATTGTTGCATATTAAGACACATATCCTAATACATTTTACATATTAAGGTGGAGACTTATTGAAATGTATTAGGAGTGGCAGCAGGACTCTGCCTTTGATAAATTGCTTGTTCTCAGTCCACTGTATAAAAGCGTCTACTAAACAAATACGCAGCGGTGCAAGACAATATCAAAATATGATATGGAAACATGGAAAAGCTTGGGAAACGTTTGTCATTCAACTTCTTACAGGTGCAGAAACCTGCACTCACAAAATCGTAACTCCGGACGTCTGATGTTTTTGCAGTGTAGATACAGGACTAATATCAGTCATTTGACAGTTTTACGAGTTTCTCTTTGTACGTATAGTATGGAAAGCCACCTCGGTTTAATGCAGTGGCAAAATAAATATTACCAAATATGAACTTGACAAAGCATGAACAATAAAATGTATCAAACACACCTGATCTTTTTCGGATTTTCTCTCTCCTCCAACTCCTTCATTCTCTTTCTCGATTTTCTTAATTTTGATCATCTGTCCGTTTTATTAGGGATCAATTATTCTTCAGATGATATCCATGGGGAGTCTAGATCCAATTATGCTCTAGTTTGCCATCAGCCGGATTCCCGAGATATTTAGGCTAATGAAACTTTGTCTGAAGCCGTGAATTTGAAAGCCCCGCCCACGCTACAAGTCTCTGGACGCATTCCAGCACCAGCTCGCGACGCTCTGCGCCTAGTAGGGGTCGCTCTCTGCGCTGTTGAATTAAACCAAACAAACAGTTGAGGGCAGGGAAAACAAATATGCGGCCTTGATATGAGCCGTAGAAGAAGAATATGATAAGAGAGAGTTTACCACATTTGCAGATAAACTGTGATTTTTTAATCAAAGACATGTGTAAGTTTACCGTTTGCTGTGATGATTAATACTTACTCCCTCCCGCTATATTATTTCGTTGTGTAGGTTGTTAAAAAAAACCGGATACTTCTGGTTATCAGAAAAGGTTTCCACTTTTCACGTCCATACAGGCGTGTCTTTTTAAAGTACTGTTGACCTTAAGATGCCATTTCGGCGTGGCCAGTTATGCTGGTTTGACTGAAGTTAGTTTGAGCTCCAGGAAGTAAATAATTGGATGGTTCTTAAGCTCTCACCTGTAAGATTCAAATATTTATTAATTTTTCCCAAATATGTATAGGATATGTACTCTCTCTGTCTCTAGAATGAAGAATGAAATTTAGAAAGAAATTAAAAGTAGCTACAGAAATAAAGACTTTAAAAAAACAGAAGTCAGAAAGAGCTTTTTTACCAAGTATGTTTACACACACAGGGAATTTGACCTGGCGACAGGAGCTTCCAGTGCAGAAGAAAGTGCAAAGACATAGTGCAAACTTACATGACAGTGAAGACATACGTAGGAATAACACAGTAGAGATGGAATATATAAACTAATAAAAACAGAAAATTAAATAATGCACTATATTACAGACTTAGAAGTGTAGAAAAAAAATGTAATTGCTTAAATGAATTTACAGATATGTTATTTACAAGTGTGTAGTTTACAAATGTACACATTTTGAATTCTATGTATAAATATAAGTATGCCAGTTATGATGGACACGGTATAGGCTAGTTATGGAAGTTTTAATTGTTCAGGCTGAAGATAGTCTGCGGGAAAAAGCTGTTCTTGTGCCTGGCTGGTGGTTGGTGCTCTGTAGCACGGACCAGAAGGCAACATTTGGAAGATAGAGTGGGCTCGTTGTGAGGGGTCCAAGGTGATTTTCTTAGCCCCTTTCCTCACTCTGGAGATGTAAAGTTCTTGGAGGTTGGGCAGGGTGGCACCGCTAATCCTCTCAGCAGTCCTGACTGTCCGCTGTAGTCTCTTGATGTCTGATTTGGTAGCTGAACTAAACCAGACAGTTATTGATAAACACAGGACAAACTCAATGATGGCAGAGTGGAACTGTTTCAGCAGCTCCTGTGGCAGGTTGAATTTCCTCAGCTGGCGAAGGAAGTACAACCTCTGCTGGGCCTTTTTAAGAGTGGAGTCTATGTGAGTGTCCCACTTCAGGTCCTGAGTGATGGTGGTGCCCAGGAACCTGTATTACTCCAATGTTGTTACAGTGCTGTTCATGATGGTGAGTGGGGGGAGTGCACGGGGGTTTCTCCTGAAGTACACGATCATCTCCACTGTTTTGAGCGTGTTCAGCTTCAGGTTGTTGTGACTGCACCAGACTGCCAGCTCTTTTACCTCCTGTCTGTAAGCAGACTCGGCTGGATATTACATATGTATTACATATATATATATATATATATATATTACATATGATATTACATATGTAATATCGTCAGGATATTTCATAAGACTGAATGAACATTTTATAAATACCTGTAATACCTGATCATTTTATAAATACCTGTAATATGTTGTGATTTAAAAAATGAATATGTTTTAAATCTTTAAAGTTGAGTTAAGCATTTTTGTCCAATATATAAACCCATATGATGGGAATATAAACATGTTCTGAATAACAGGAATGACCAGATTAATTGTAAAATGTAATATGAAATCAGTATAATTGGTACGTCCAAATGAAATGCACTAATTCAACACGTGATGAAGAGGTATGAATGTTCACACTTTGCAATAAACATTTTGCTTCCACCACCATATAATGAAGGACATAGTGCAACAAAGGTATACACCATGGGAAGATCTGAAAAAGGACTCACTTCATTATAAGTGCAGGGGTTTCTTTTGCACTGATGAGGTCTCTGCCCATAGTGGTGACTAGCTCAGATGACTGTATAGTACCTGTTTCACTTAATGATTAATACGGTGTACAGGTCAGTTTAAATCCATCATCAGGTCATCATGATGGTGGACATCAGCTGCAATGTCCTTTAGGAAATCTTTATGTCCACTTTATTGCTACCATGTAGGCTATATGCAACTCTTTAGAGAAACAAAGGAAAAGGTGAATTAGCCACTAAGTACCACATTTCCACTACTCTCAAAACTGGATTTTAATATTAGGCAATGTAATATTATGTTGTATAATATTTAACAAACTTTAATTGCATTAATGTTTAACATAGATATGGCCTGGTCAGTACCTGGATGGGAGACCTCCTGGGGAAACTAGGTTGCTGCTGGGAGAGTTGTTAGTGAGGCCAACAGGGGGTGCTCACCCTGTGGTCTGTGTGGGTCCTAATGCCCCAGTGTAGTGCTGAAGACAATAAATATACTGTAAAAAAAAAACACCATCCTTGGGATGATTCATAAAACTGAGGTCCTGACTCTTTCTGTGGTCACTAAAAAAATCATGGCACTTCTTATAAAGAGTAAGGGTGTATCACTGGTGTCCTGGCCAAATTCCCTCCACTGGCCCTTGTCAATCATGGACTCCTAATAACCCCCATCCACTGAATTGTCTCTATCGCTCTCTCTCCTCTTCACCTGTAGCTGGTGTGTGGTGAGCGCACTGGCACCGTTGTACTGTGGATGCTGCACACTGGTGATGGCTGAGGAGTATAAATCCCTCATTCATTCATTCAAAACAATGCATTATTTTTAGGATTAAAATTTACCTGTTATCTACAAATGAACAGACCATCCTTCCTTACAACAGCCCTCACCTCTTCAAATAAGTGCTAAATTGGTGTACTTTAATCCCAGTAAGACCTTTAAGATTTTATGCAGTCAAAATAAGACATGATTAATGGTGACAGATTAATGTATCTAACAGTTTTTTTTTTATGTAAACTGCAATTTTAAATGAATGGTGTACATTATCTTTCATGATAAGTTTAGTAAAATCTGTATCGACAGTAAACCTTTCAATACTACCTTTAGACAGTCCTTGTTTTGTCCTCAGCTGATTTCAAGGAAGCTTTCACCCTCAAGCTATACATATTTGTACATTTCTAACAATTGACTCTCATTGATGTTTAGTCTCCCTAATCTCTCTAGTATGAAGAACTGTCTCACTAGCTACACTTGAAATATTGTACTCCAAGAAAAAATATGGCCCATAGCATTGGTGTGAATATGAATTAATTTTCAGTTTTTATAAAGGTTTTTACCCGTATTTTGAATTACACATTGCATTATGTTTTATGGTTAAATTAAAATTGATGGTTAAACTGAAAATGCACTTATAATTTCTTGCCAGGACTTTATCTGTTTTTTTTTTTCTTTTCTTACAGTGTTATACCTGAGGTAGTTACATTGCAAATTTGATTTGTTTTAAAAATGCACATTTGTCTGTTCGTTTGCATTTATGTAAAGTCACCATCTACTGCATAACAACTTCTTGTTATAATAGTAATGTGGGAAACTGTAACATCTGTACTATTAGGTTTTAGTTTATAACTCTCAGTAATCAAGGGCAATAATAAGGCAAGCTTTTAGATAACAAATCTTATGTACACCTAAAATTGGGAGAAATAATGATGAAATGATGTTGAACTCCTGCTTTTATGCTCATACTAGAGCTTTAAGCTGAAAACTGATGGTTTGATTAAGAAAAGAGTCAGACATCTTCATTCGGAAGGGCAAATTTGAAAGTTTATCTCTCATGTGACCTTCAAAATTACTACAGTTTTCTTCAGTACAAATAAAATCCAAAACACATGCATTTATCTCAACCATTCACATACACACTGTAGTACCTCTTCCATTGACTGTCTTCTGCCAACTCAATTATATTATGTGAAGCTTAGATGGGGTAAAACAAATTCTCTAGCTAGGCATTTTGTCAGATAATTTTGGCTGTTTATAATTGAAGTAAAAAAAATGAAAAACAAAATAAACGTCATCAAACATAAGTCTGTCCCATGTACATTCACTGTCCTATGAGATGGAACCGATAAATATCCTCCATTCCATAGGCATCTCAAAATCTGAAAGAGTGTCACGTGTCTGAGTAGCACCTCTACAAATGAATGCTCTCTGACAAAGTGAGAAGAATCAGGTTGCACTTGCAATCCTAGTTTTAAAGAAAATCTGACGGGGAACGTTAAATCTCTGTTCTCAGTTCTTTCATTCTTTCTTTCACACTCAAAACCTCAATAGTAATAAATGAGTAATCTAGCTGACTATTTAAAATGTGCAGTGCACCCTTCTCTGAAAGGGAGAGAGGAAGAAAGAACACCCATGTAGTGTACTTAAAAGTATATACATGTTGAACATAATGTGTAAGAAAGTGTGTGCCATCTTTATCTCTCCCTCTCGAGTGTATACTTAAGAATGGCTTCAGTATACCTTATATCATACCGCATTTCTATATTCATACATAATTATATCAAGACAAGAAAGAGAGACAGGGAGGAGGGTGGAGTACTCAAGTTTACATGATGTCAACACATAGGGGGAACAGAGCAATATAACAAAGGACTGTCACTCAATAGCCATGGTGGGCCCAAACACGTGCAGGGGAGAAGATTTTGCAAACTTGTTTGACCAGATGGAGAGAAATAAACAGTCTTTGTACAATCATGTTGAGGAATGCATTGAGGCAGACTCTCTGTCCTCTTTTTCCTCCTCGTCCATCTTGCGGCCGTGCTTTCTGAAATACTTGTACCTCTGGACATAAAGCTTGACCAGGTTACTCACTTTAACTGG